GAGCCGGACTTCCTCTTCAGCGTGGTGCAGATGATGAGATCGCTGAAGAGGAAGAGCGAGCGGTCTTTCTTCCCGCCCACCGTCTTCTGCAGAGAGACGGGAGCAGCTCAGAAAATCTGGACTCCAAATGACAGCTTATATTTTTCGACCACTTCGATGATCGCTAAACTTAATGAGTTTGTTAACGCATCGAGTGGCAGTTTAGAATAATGTTACTCTGATGGCAGAGCTTACCGCCTCCATGACGATCTCCTGCCTCAAGAACTTCCTCTGCGGGTTCAGAATCTGACAAGAACAAGGAACGCGAGCCGTTAGTGTCCGGTTCGTTCAAATTTAATCCAGCAGGCACTGTTCTCATAAACAGAACACGTCATGGATGAAAAGACCTTTATAAGCACGCCTGGTGATTTGACAAGTCCATCTTACGTGTTCAACTCCCTCTATGTGCGCCTCGATCTCCTGGATAACCCTGGCCTCCCGCTCCGCGTCCTCAGCGGAGCGGCGTCCTTTATTGATCTTCTCCGCCAGGCGCTTGATGTCCCTCTGGGCGTCCAGCAGCAACGAGTGGTCCGGGTGATCCTCCGAAGTGTGTTTCAGCAAGTCCTGCAGCAGTCAACGCAAACACGTGTGTCCAGTTCCCCGTCACCGAGATCAGAGCAAAACAAAGAAAATGAAGGTGTCACCTTGACCAGCAGCTCGTATCGAGGGATCCTCTGCACCGGTTTGATCATCAGATCACCCAGAGCCTGCTTCTCCTTGTTCTCACGCATGTTTTGCTGTCAAAGAACAAAAAACAAAACAAAAAAAAGAATTAAAAACCAAACATTCCCTGAAGGGAGACTCGTCGCCCGGCTCCTTACATCGCAAACTTTCCTACAAAGATCTTAGTCTGTCAGGGCTCTGGGTATGTGCTGGAGAGGACTCTCAAAAGAGAAAAACTCAACTAAAGCAGCTTTTAGGACGCAGCTAAACGTTGGAGCTCCACCAAAAGATGGTGCTGCTGTTCCACCCTGAAAACCTGAGAGCAGCTCAGAGTTTCTGACCTGACTTGAGGACACCAGGACATGCAGTGGTCCAACAAATGACACATAATCTCCCAGCAGGTTCAGTCTAAACACAGAATCTATGCTTTTAGGCTACAGATAAAGGTATGGCTGAACTTTGTATTTTTTTTACATTTACTCACAGGAGACAGAAATCTGTTGTGGTTTTTGAACAGTTAAGTGTCGTAAATATTAATAAGGACCCATTGAGACAACAATCTAACATTTCAGGTTTCTGACATTTATTTGATCCTTTTAGGCTTTTTGGGGTCCTGGATCCTCTGCAGTGACCTTTTCACAAAGAGTGTAAAAAAAGCAACAAAGTTGATCATTTTAAATTCACTGAAGAAGCGAAAACTAAGATGTTATTGCAAAACAAGCAGAACAGAGGCTAAAATAATCAGCACAGAGCTAAAGGCTTAAAGAAGCAGAACAGTAGCTAAAGTTAGCAAAACAGAAGATATAGATAAAAAAAACAACTAAATGCTATAAAATACCATAGGTGCTACAGTTAGCAAGACAGTAGCTAAAAGTGGCAAAGTACATGTTAAAGCAAAACAGAAGCTCAACTGAGAAAAATGTACCTAGAAGCTAAAAGAAGTAGAATGATAGCTAAATCTAAAATAAGCAAAACAATAACTATAAGGTAAAAGAGACAGAATGACAGATAATAGCTAAAAATAGTAAAACAATAACTAAAAACTAAAAGTAGCAAATTACATGCTAAAGCTAAAGTCAGCAAAACAGAAGCTAAACTGAGAAAAATGTACCTAGAAGCTAAAAGAAGCAGAATCATAGCTAAAAGCTAAAAATAAGCAGAACAATAGCTACTGTATAAAGGTAAAAGAGACAAAATGACAGACAATAGCTTAAATTAGTAAAGCCATAACTAAAAGCTAACAGTAGTAGAACAATAGCTAAAAGCTAGAAGAGGCTTCTTTTAGTGAATGCTAAAAGCAGCAAAGCGGTAGCTAAAAGTTCAAAGCAGCACAGGAAGACAAAACTACAGGCAGTGTCCGCTCAAGCAGATCAATTTAACTGTTTTTGAAGGAACTGAAGAGATTTTAACGTGCGTTGGTACAAAGAATTACCGGTATATTTTTAAGAGATGTTTAAAGTATCAAAGTTACTCAAACCAAAAGTGGAAGAACACAATGAGCAGGAAAACAATCTTGTGAATGCTGACACAGCATAACTCTGCATGACTCAGCGTTTAGAGCTGTAGAAGCTGGTTAGCAAACTCAAAGTGTCTTTCATTAATTCTTCAACAGGTCAAAGTGAGTCCAGCTGTTCAGACCCAGAAGAACCACCTGCAGCTCAGTGCAACACTCACCTCCAGGAACTTGTGGAACGCCGGCTTGGCCTCCTTGGCGACCCTCACGGCGTCTTTGGCGCTGAGGAAGTTGTCGATGTACGCTGAGTATATGTTGGCAAGAGCCTCTTTGGAGAACTAAAGGAAGGGGGAGAAGACGTAAGACGGAGACATCTTGTCTCGTGGACAATCTGATTTGACCAGAGTCTTGATCACGTGACTGTCAATGCTTTCATCTAATCCAACGAAAAACTAAACACATCAATCAAACAACAAAAATATTTATAAAAACAGAACTAATAGCTCTGATCTATTTTAATATTTTGTAAGGTTTCGAACAGAACGAGAATTTACTGTTACTTGTCCTGCTCAACATCCTTTTGTGTATTTCCTGTTAGAGGTGGCAACTCTCTCAGTTCCAGGATTGTATTAATATAAAATGCACTTTGAACTTTCTGTATTAATAGAAAATGGCTAAATAAATAAATAAAAATCATCTTTTTGTTTAGTTTCTGACCGAGACCAGCAGTTTTACGGACAAACTGGCCAATTAATTAAATCAAATCTAAACGCTTCGATTTAGAGGAAAAACTTTCTTCTGTATGTTTTTCGGCATCTTTCTCGTCCCACAATTTTTG